GAGGAAGACGAGGAGGAAGAAGACATGAAGGGGGACAAAACTGAAGCCATGACAGAGGAGAACAGTTGTGGGAGTAACTGAGAGAGAAAGATAGCGCGGGGAGAACGTTTGAAGGGAAGATGTGGGGAGACTCATGGTGGTTAAAATCTGAAGAACTCAGAAAAATCAAGAAATGGGTTGTGTGTCTTTTTAAATGTGTGTAGTCTGAATACACAGATGAGATGACAGCTGTCAGTAAACTGAGCGATGGATTCTTTCGTGACCTTAAACATGTGAGAAAAGGTTCTTGTAGTACTTCACCTCTAAAGGGTGGTTTTGAAAACGAGGACGAAGAGGGAGTTTTTGTATTAGTCAGCCTTTATGAGCAGGTGAGGAGTGATTTACTGACAGAGCAGACTACAGATGCTACTTTGGCCCTGGTGTCCTTTTGTTTATAATGACAGTGGAAGGGCCAAGGTCAGCGTGACCAAAAACCCTGCAAGACCAGACCTTCAAAGAAGGCTAAAATGGCCACAAGGAATACAAAGTTGACATTATCTTTCTCGGGTACATTTGATTAAAAAAACAAACAAAAACAAACTCTCCTGTATTACCCTTTGTAAAAACACTTGAAGGTCTTTAAATGTGTGCAGTGCGTGTTCCATTTTACTTTGAAACCACAGCCTACATCGTTTGTTTTTTGATTTACAGCAGCCTCAGTGTTTAGTCCTTTGTGTGTGCTGCCATCTTGTGGTAAAAAATACAAATGACAGGTTAAAGTGCTACTGCGGCTACTTAAAGTTAAAATCCATAATTCAAATTCTGTTTTGATGCGATTTATGTTCTGCATTTTCAACAACAGCCTTTTAATTTTGCTGTATCTGAGCTTCATGTTGCCAAATCTTTGATCTTATTGATTATAACTTTAGCCTCTTGGAAGCTTGAATGGCGGTTGTTGCCAGTGTTATTTGTCACTGACAACAACAGAAGTCTTCAGCTTTAATTAAAATCATCAATTATTTCATTTCTATATAATAATCTACTTTTATTCTTGCTCTTTATGCTCGGCATTTACCAAACAGTCATGCTGTAGTCACTGAGTTTACGTTAAAACAATTTGCAATTTGTTCATGCTTAGATCAATGTATGACTCTTTTAGTTCAAAAATCTTTATCTGAAATTATATGAACTCTGCATTTAGCCTTGTTTTTTTCTTTTAAACCTAAATTTAAAATCAGTCTGTAAAGCTACCTCCAATTTTTCAAAAACACCCATTTGCTGCCTCTGTGCATGACTCATTTGAACGGGATTCTTCAGAAACTTATTGGGGAAATTTTAAAAAATGAATTGAAAAACATTTTCATTTCTAATCTAGGATATCTCCCTTTTGTATGCTGACACTTTTGTACTGTTAGCTTTTTCTCATTCCCTAATCGTCTGTTGAAAGAGATATTTTTCTAATCCAAAATCCAGTTTATGGGGAGCACTGCTTAGCACTATCCTGCTTCTGTTACCTATATCCAAATACACAAATGAACCACAACGACTACTGTGCGACTGACATTTGGTAGACTTCCTTCAGCAACGAATTCAACTTTGTTTAACTGACAAAGCAAACCTAATGATAAAATTTCTAGTTGTGCCACAGGATGAATAAATCTTGCTGTTTCTATCATCTAGGCTGCTGTTTGTAAATAAAACTTTGTGAGACTTTTTCAACCTGTGACCTGCCTAAATTGTGGGATGACTGGATGAGCACGTTATGTGTGCTGAGGCTCTTCAGCCAATAATGTCCTCCCTCCTTCTTTATAACCACCCCCCTCCTCATCCCAGGTCAGAAGAAACAATCGTGGAAAGACATGTACGAATGCTTAATCTGTCTTTATTTTTCTTTTTTTTCCATTCTGTTGTTTCTCAATGTGATGTGGTTGTTTTGAAGTGAGCAACTGTATGATATCGAAATAAACAATTTTTCCTTTCTCTTTTAATCCAACCTAAATGTTACTTAAATCTTACGTCTGACATTTTTGCTTGGGAATTCTTTTAGATCTTTTTAATTGCATGTTTTTTAGACCCCTCCTACATTCACTGCTCTCTATCGAATTTATCCTTGAATCAGTTATGGACTGTCAGGAACTGCAAGTAGAGGATCCAGGTGCAGACACAAGACGGCAGAGGTTAAATCAAAAACACACCGTTAATTAAGACCTTTGGTTAAGACCAAATCTAAAGTAGTGATTCAACTGATTCTTAAAATAGGTAGGGAAAAAAACAGACACTATGACAAAGACTAAGGAGCAGGGCAGGGCTATTTATACACATGGGGTTAATCAACGACTGTGAAAGCAGAAAGGCAAGGAGACATAGCTGAATTCAACTGAGAAAATCAGACAACAAGAGAGACATAAAGACAGTCACAAGACACATATACACACAGTTTAGGAGTATGACTTTTTTCCCTGGTTCCCAGAGAAGACTGATTCATAAAATAATTAATTTTTTAAGCTTTATTTTAACTTCACTTTCATGTAAAATTGGGAAGCTAATGGGCTTAACAGAATTTTTTAATTATTTTACAATTTACAGGCTGGGTAAACTCCATTCAATTTATTTTTTAACAAATGTCACAGTTTATTTCATCAAAACAGTTTCCTTTTATCTTTAACAATGTCCACATTATTATTACATTACACCAGGGATGTCAAATTCACTTTACACCGTGAGCCCAGTTTGATCTGAACTGGGCCAGAGGAGTGGCATTCTCATAAGAAACAAATTAACAACTTCCACAGAACATCTCTATCTATGTGATAAAGACATGGTGTTGTAGAAACAAAAAGAAATCTCAGTACAACTCTTGGGACTTGAATAGTAATAAAGAAATGTGTCAAATTAAGGAAAATCTTCAGGCAGCTGACTCATAATCCTGTAATTATAAAACACAAGGCTTTTGTTAATTTTCATGTCCTTTTATTTGTTATTGTGTATCCTCAAAATTTCTACAGTAGAGTATGAAAAAAAAACCCAGGAACTTTTCTGTCATTTATTTTTTTGTAGCATGAATGGCCCATGGGAGAGGTCTTTATTAGTAAAGATGAAGCTATAAAACCTATGAAAATACAGATAAAAGTGCAAAATTATAACCTTCATGTTTTCCAAAGCTGTCCAATTATTAAAGTCATTGCCAGGCCGATTTTTGGGTCCTGGGCCTTATTTTCTATTATTATTTTATTTTATGATGTTATATTATATTTTACTAAAAGAGTTAGGTCATTATTATCCACATTGCCTTCATTTCGATATAAGAGCTACTAAAACAAACAGTACAAGAAAGAAGAACTCCTAAATCTAAAAATTTATTTTAAATAATATAATTTTTTTGCGTTATATAGTCTTCATGCAACACCTTCTTAAAGTATGTGCCAAATATTTCTTTCAGTCATTCCTTCATTCATTTGCACTCCAGTTCTTTCATTTGTTGGCATTCCCCACCCCTTAAGCAAAGGGCAGAAAACAATAATGAGCCAGAGCTAAAAATAACTAGACCATTCATTATTTACACGTTGGCTTACTTGAGCTTTAAACTAATGGAGTTAAAGACCAATAAGTAAGTAAATACATAAATCAATCCTTCCTTATGATTTTCTCTGGCTGTTTCAAACCCATTTTGCTTGCTCATTTGTTGTTGGTGGTGGTTGAAATATTTTGTATCCCATGTATTGTAATGGGTTAGGCTCGCATTACCAAATACTGTTTCAATGTTCCAACTAGACCTCATCTTTTGTTCCAGCAATACTACATTAGCAAGTGGAGATAATTATAACTAACATTGATTTTATAAAGAGGTTTCAAAAAATACATCAAAATTCGTCTTAAGTAAAAGACCAAAAGGGGCAGTGTAGGTCCAGATAGATAACCTAAAACTGTACATGACAGTCCAACTACATTGTATACCAATATTTTTTAAAAAAACGGCAAAACAGCATTATTAATCTCATCTAAACCGTAAAACGGAACAATGTAAATACTTAATTTTGTATTGTGAGTTTCGATTGTATATTTCATATGTTGCATGTGTACGTGTTGGCGTAAATAAGTACCACTTTCGATTTCGAACGAAACCGGAAATACGTTACGGGTTATTCTCTGGCATCCTTTGACGGAGTCTGCTCTGGTCGCTTGATTAGTTTCGGAGTTGTTGATTCAACTTTAATCCAAATTTGCACACCAGTCTAAATACAATTTTTAGATAAAGATTAGCACGAATGCATGTGTAAGAGTTATTCAAGGAGGATAAAGATTTTTACCGACCAAATGGTAAGTTTGTTTTGGTCTGAAAATTAGTTTTCTGCCCATTTAAACCTTTCAGTGTTACAGATGAGCGAAGTGCCCATACGATGGCACTCAAGAGTCTATTTAAATCTCACACAACTGACAAGTGACATTTCAGCGTATAATATTGTCAGATTAGTCGCAAGCTCGACCGATTGTGGAATAATCATGCCAACTGGTAGTCCGTTATAAAACATAGTAGTCACACTCATTAAAGTCTATGCCAAAACTTTGAGTACAGCATTCTCCTAGGACATGGGTGCAGTGTTCCACTAATATTATTCCTTATGGTTATAGACTGGATATAGAGACATACAAGATCAATAAAAAGTGTAATGCAGTGTTTCAGTAACAAGACGATCTAGATTTTGCACATGGTCACTAAAAATCAAAAAGCCAAAACCACGGGCAAGAGCAGTACTAATAAAAAAAAAACCATGCCTCTTTATATGATAGCTTGGTCGTGTACTGAAAATGCCAAATTACAGGAAAAAGAAAAACACACACACACACGAATACAAAAACCTAGGGTGAAACTTCAGCGTGTGGCAGGTGGCAGGGAGAGAGTTGCGATGGTGATCACGTGACACCCGGCGGGTGAGCGATTCATCTTGTTGTGATACTTCTTCTTTGGAAGGTCAGCCCGGAAGACTTCGTAAAGCGATGATGCTACTGTAAATCAAGTAAGTTCAATACCTTGAGTTTTCTTTATGAAATACTTAAAGAAGGATTTCTGCCAAGTTTCGCAGTGTTGCTTAGCGTGCCCGTTTCGTTACGTTTGAGGAGTGTATTTGTTTCTCCGCAAGTGAGACCAACTTGTTATCGAAGCGAACAGTGTAAGCTAAGCGGCAGCTAACAACATTGGCTATTGGTTATCTCTTAATTATCCAGTCCGTGCTTTTCTAGAAGAAAGACTTGAGTCTAGCTATTGTTCCCTGACATTATTGCCTTCGTGTCTTGTGTTTGACAGTTTGACAGCGTTGAGTTAGCTTGCTAACAGGAATTAGCTCCCGGACCTTCAGGCTGTTTTGTTTTTGGCACAAGTGAACAGGCTAGGGGAGTCACGGGATCTTAACCTGACTTTAAACTCCGCTTTAGCGGTTTGTTAACTTAATTGATGTTCTTTCGGTTAATAGATAAGACATGCTTGATCACATCTACCTGTCAACGTGTACCGATGTTACGGAGTTTGTCCAGAGGTGATTGAAACTCACCTCCGGCTCAATAATGGCTCAGTGGTGTAATAAAACCCGCTGTCTTCCTGCTTCGTGGGAATTGTTCTCCCAGACTCTGATGTCACACCAGAAATGTCCCTCAGCTAATGATTCGTGACTACAGACTTGTTTTCAAGAAGTCACGTCACATGCTTTACGCAGTATTAACGTTGGAGTCGTTCATTTTAAAAAGCTTTTGGCGGAAGATCAGATATAACACTCATCGTTTAACACAAACACACAGGCTGTTTGTTCTTGTAAAATAAGGCAAAACTAGCAACGCTTGCTGTTTGTCTTCACCATAGGGAGGTGAAAGGAGATCACGAGACTCCACTGAAGGCTAGTTATCGTCTGCTGTTTTCACCAAAAAAAAAAACCCCAAACAAAAACAACCCCAAAAACACAGTAGGTGGAGGTGGAAGAGTTAAAGATGTTAATATTTTATTGTTGGGAGTGACCAGAATGGACAAGATGAGAAATGAGTTCAGGTGGAGCGGTTTGGAGGCAAAGTAAGAGAGGCAAGGCTGAGAGGATTTGGACATGTGCAGAGGAGGGATAGTGGATATACTGAACTAAGGATTTTGAATATGGAGCTGGCAGACTAGAGGAGAAGAGCAAAACCACAAAGAAGATTTATGGTTGTAGTGAAAGAGGATATGTAGAGGGCAACCGCGACAGAGGAGGTGAGATGGAGGCAGATGATCTGCTTTGATGACCAATAGGGAGCAGCCGGAAGAAGAAGAAGCAGCGCTAAACATGACAACCACCCACTTATGTCTGTTTTGCTGCAGGTGGATTTTCCTGTGTCACAGCAGGAATGCATGGTGGAGCCTATGGGGAGCTCGGGGGCAGCCTCCCCGCCATCGCCTCCCTGAATGCTTCCTACTCTACATCGATGTCCATCCCATCCCCGTACCTGTTGACACCACCTGCAGAGCGCAAGAAGATCTCTGACGTGCGGCGCACTTTCTGTCTCTTTGTGACCTTCGACCTTCTCTTCATCACCCTTCTCTGGATTATTGAGCTTAACGTGAGTGTGTGCTTTCACTGTTCTTGTTGCTGTTGCAGAACTAATGGTTAATTCTTGGTTTGATGTGATCTCTGCCCTCTTCTTCTGCAGATCTCAAACACACTTTGGGAGAGTTTAGAGAACGAGGTCGTCCATTATAACTTCAAGTCATCCTTCTTTGACATTACTGTAAGTAGGTCAATCCAAATTTGTGTTTATTTGCATTCAGTGTTGAAATGATGGGTCATTTATTACCACGTTATTTCAATCATGCTTTGATCACAATGAGCAGTTACTTATGTGTAACCTGCTCTTGTAATTCCTCCTTTTGGGTTGGCAGATTGAATCATTATAGACACACAAGGGGAAATCATTTGCAACGTCAACATGTAATTAAAATGAAAGGTCATTTTCTTTTTCTGCTTCTTCTTCCTTGTCTCAGCTCCTTGCCTTGTTTCGTTTCCTGTGTCTTCAAGTGGCCTATGCTGGTTTTCGGTTGAGGCATTGGTGGGTTATTGCGGTAAGTCATCTCAGTTACAGTTAAACACACACTGAATAGATAATGTAAAGTCTTATATGTTATTTGTCAGACATGAGCTATTTAACATTTTTTTTAAACTCTTCAGATTACCACTCTGGTAACAACCATCTTCCTCGTTGTCAAAGTTATCATATCGAATGTGAGTGTCCTCTCTTTGCTACTCTAACACTTTCCGAGCCTGTATTTGTCTATGTGAACGGTTTGCAAGCATATCAGTTTAAACCACTTCCACTTTTTCACTTCTGCATTCAAAGGCAGTTATTCACAGTCTGAGCTGATAAGACTTTATGTGATTTCTTTTTTTGCAGTGGTTCAAAATTAGTTTGTACATTTGTAAACTTTTCACATTTGACATTAGGGAAGTGAACCAACATCAAATGCAGCACACTCATCTGTTTTAGAAGCTGAAGTAGTAAAAATAGTCTTTGATTTCTATTTTGAAGAAGCAAAATGCTTTTGGCTATGTTCTGCCCATCACCTCGTTTGTGGTCGCCTGGTTGGAGACCTGGTTCCTTGACTTCAAAGTTCTCCCTCAGGAGACTGATGATGAAAGAGGTAGGATAACAGTGCCCGATAAGTTCAAATGCTGCTTACACAAAGCTGTCTTATTCTTAACTTCTTTTCTTTTGTTACCTCAGCATACGTAGCAGCAGTGAATGCTGCCTGTGAACGAGCCCCTATTTACTCTCACGCTGTCTCAGATGGACAGTTCTACTCTCCACCTGAATCTGTCGCAGGTGAATGTTTGTGCAAGTGGTTTCTTAGTTAGGGTTTTTTATTATCTCTATTATGATTGTACATTTCATATTTAACCCAAAAATAGAGTTATGGTCTTGAACTTGTGTCTGCAGACTCTGACGAGGAGCCTGATGAGGAGGGTCCTGGGCGTAGAGCTATCACTGCTCAGGTAGCTTTTGTTATACTCTTTATAATCAGCCCCACTGACTCCTGTTCTGATGATGATTTTCTGCTTCGTTTCTCACTCCTCTCACTCTTATTCCAGGAGAAGGAGTATGTGAGACAGGGTTATGAGGCAATGTCTGTGGTGGAACAGATCCTAGCCCAGGAGGAAAACTGGAAATTTGAAAAACACAATGTGAGTACATGACTCCAGGATGTATCCACTGAATGAATAGCTTTCCTGTCTTGTTCACGTTTGAATGCACAGTTAAGACGTTTGCTTGCATAACTAAAAGATCATATCACTGACGCAGATTTCATTGCTTCCTCGTGCATTCTTTTTATGACAGACAGAGTGTTCAGGGTGCCTTTGTTTTAACACAAACATATCTCATAGAAAACTTGTAATCAATACTATTGTCTTCACTGTGACACCTAATTACTTTTTTGGTTTTAAAGATTCAATTGCCTATCAAAGTGTCCCTTATAGTTCTTGTGATCAGCAATAGAGATGGTACTTTAATGGCCTCATTTCTATTTTAGGCAGCTGATAAGCAACAATGAACTGTGAATCACAGATATAACCGACAGAGATACTGAAAGATACTGATCCTGCAGTTTCCTACACACGCCAGGTTACAAAAAATGACTAAAGCACAGGAGCCAGCCATCTCAAGCAGCAGTTCAATTGTTTCTTTCTTTTTTTTTTATTTCTTCTCTTCTTTATATTTGAGGAGTGATGCACAAAAGCACTGATTTAATAAAATAGGCAATACCTTTTGTCAGATTTAGCTACTACAGTACTGTGGGAACGTCTTGAACCATCCCTCGTGTCTTTATATTTTGCAGTCGATGAGTAAAACGTTCTTGTAAAAGGCAAAAGAAGAAGTGGCAACCCTAAAACAAAGTGTTTACATCATATGATCAACATGTGAAAGTCATGTTCTTAAGAAACAGGAAAAAATCCAACAAAGACCTGACTCATGACCTCAGAGATGCAGCTTGCTTTTCAATTGATCACTAAAGTTTCATCCAAAACTGTCTCAGTCAAAGGGTGGCTGTCAGGAAGCCATTTTTTAATGAAGGAGCACAGAGAGAAAATGCCGAGGTATGACATATTACATAAGAACTAGACTGAACATCAGTGGCAACAGGTCCCATGGAGTGATGAATCCAAATTAGAAAATTTTTATTCAAATAGTCGTCAATATGTACAGAGGAAGTCGGGAAAGAGGTAGAAAAGGGAGTGTCTACAGCCATCTGTGAAACATAGTGAGTTCTCTATCATTTCAGCCAGTGGTCTCAGGGATCTTGTTAAAATTATGAACCTAGAAGAGTGCCATCAGATTTCGATTTGACATGAAATACAAGCTAAAAAGCATCTGACTGACAAAGGCTTCATTTTCCAGCATGATAATGATAAAAAAAACACACTGCCAGTTTGGTAAAAGCATCTGGTTTCACTAAATCGCTGCACCCATTTCCAATTTTCCTTGCTAAATATACAGAAATGAGAGGAGGCTCAAGACTTTTGCTCAGAACTGTAGCTAATTTCCACCCTGAGCAGGTATACACACTATATTAAAAGCTGTTTTTTGAGGGGAAAATAAAGGCCCCACAATCAAATCCCTTTAAACTCTCATAGAACCACTATTAAGGTAAGAATGTAATCAAACAGGTATGTTGGCACCACAACACCCAACTGAAACCTAATTTTAGCAATGCAGCATTTTTCTCTGTAGGAGGTGTATTTCTGTATCAGCTCTTTTAATTACAATGAAAACTACATTACCTGTCTTACTAGTAGTTTATTATTCCTGCGTTATTAATTCATAACTGTTTTTACTCAAATGAAAGTGAAAGTGTCAGTAATACTGTGTCTTTTTTTCACCTCCCATAACAGGAAATGGGCGACTCAGTTTACACTCTGGAAGTTCCTTTCCATGGAAAGACTTTCATCCTCAAGGTGCAACAGTCTTCTAGTGTATTCAGTATCTCACCAAACATGCCCTGCTACATTTTCATCATGTTTAGATAGGCTGCATTTGTTAATAGGGTGAATTCAGATATGTTTTCAAGCCTCCCTGGTCTTTTTACATATACAACTCATATTGCCTTGGACTCCATTATTATAGATGTCAGCGTAAAGAGCAGAACAGGCTCTGAATCCGTCAGCTGTCACACTTCTTCTTAACACTCTGCTACAAATGGATCAAGTTCTCTTGCAGCTGATGGGCCTGTATTTGCACAGTTTCTGCTGCTGAAATAATCAATAATTGCATGCTAAATCCAATTCGATACAACAGAGACTTGGTGCCTTGCACAGAAAAAGCTGATTCATGTGCATACAACTTCCCATTAAGGAATTCAGAGGAAGTTTGCTCTTTATTGGAGACCTCATAACTGAAGGGACTTTGTTTTCCAAGGTTTACAACTGTGCATTTATTATTGCAGCAGTCTCAAATTTATTTTTTCTTTGACACACTACTCTTGTGTTTCAGTGTGATGTTTATCTGGCAGACTTATTTCAATCTTGCTTTTCCTTCCAAGTTAGATAGGCACATTAAAACGCCATATACTGTATGAACAAAATGGAAAGTAAAATGAATGATGTAAGGCCAGGATTAAAGTGTCTTGTAGATGTGTCTATTGATAGCTGCAGACACTAAAGAAAAGTTGCTGCAACAGTTCTTATTATATATTATATATAGAGGGTATGTAGACTTCCACATAGAACCTCTTGACTAGTTTTCGATGACAAAATTTGCATCGCTGGCATGGAACAACCGTCACTGAAACAAAACGCTCTTTGTAGAAGTAAAGATTACATAATAGGGATTTCCAACAAGACAATGGTCATAAACAGACACAAGATCCTGTTTTGAAAATAGTCAGACAGGCCATTACAGATTAGTGAAGTAAGGCCTGTTCTGACCTTTGCTTCGGAGGGAAAAAGTGCACCATACAGAAAAGAGAGCTTTAGATATTTTCATATCATCTGCAACAGAAAGTGAATGGTAAATGGCCTGTATTTGTATAGCGCTTTACTTAGTCCCTAAGGACTCCAAAGAAAGGGGTAGAAAATAGCCCAAAGTACATGCAGACAGCAATTAGGTGTCATGTCTTATAGACATTTTTTTCTTGTAAATGTAGGCTATGCTGGACATTAGTTTACAGCCTTGTTTTTTCTCCTCTTCAGGCCCTCATGCAGTGTCCTGCTGAGCTTGTGTATCAGGAGGTGATCCTGCAGCCGGAGAAGATGGTTCAGTGGAACAAAACCGTTTCTGTCTGCCAGGTCAGAAGTCTTCCTGCTGTTTTTGCACATTTTTCACTGTAATCCTGTGGCGTGCTACAGCTTGATATCTCTTCCCGTCTTATACTCAGATCCTTCAGAGAGTTGACGACAACACTCTTGTCTCATATGATGTATCTGCTGGAGCAGCAGGGGGAGTTGTCTCTGCAAGGTACATCAGCACAACATCCTACCGACTTTTCTTTCTGTCATCTGTTCTTGCTGTCCCATCTGTATCGTTTCTTTTCTTCAGGTCTGAATAAAGTGTGTTTATTGGGTGATTGATTTTTCTTCCTTCAGGGACTTTGTTAATGTTCGCCGAGTGGAGCGCAAACGAGACTGTTACCTGTCTGCTGGCATAGCAACCAACCACGATGCCAAACCTCCAAGCAATCGCTATGTCAGGTCAGACCTTGCCTCTGGCCTTGTCACTGATCCAGTAAATTAGAACATTGTATCGGTTTGACAAAGGGCATCTGTGTTAGTTTAACTTGTATAACTTTGTCTTTTTTTCCTTTACTGCCGGTCTCAGAGGAGAAAATGGGCCCGGAGGTTTTGTGGTCCTCAAATCCAGCAGTAACCCATCCATCTGCACTTTCATCTGGGTCCTCAACACAGACTTAAAGGTGTGAAAACACATGGTGGAATTACTCTTGAATTTTCTTTATTTTTACAATATTCAAGATGTTCTTTCCCTTTGTACGATTAGAAAGAAGTTGTTTTCTAAATGATTTTTGTAGCAGGACACTGCAGCAGGTTGGGCCCCCTTTTGCCTTCCGAACTGCCTTAATTTTTCATGGCATAGATTCAACAAGGTGCATAAAACATTCCTCAGAGATTTGGGACCATTTTACATGATAGTGTCACATATAAAACCAGTTTGTGTTATAGTACGTTATCATGCTGAGAACAGCTGTCTGAAGATGGTTATACTGTGGTCAACATTACTTAAGCAGTGACATTAAACCCACATTGTTACCCGAGCACCACCCTGGAATTTTTCTAACAATCGAATATTGTGGCAGAAGTCATGACTCATCAGACCAGGCAATGTTTTTCCAGTCTCATTATCTTGGTTTTTAGCCTTCCTTCCCACCAGATTAAAAAAGTTTACTAGCTTCTGACATGAACAAGGCATTTTCACCCAGAGAATTGCCACTCACTGCACATTTCCTCTTTTTTGGACCACTCTAGAGATGATTATGTGGGAAAATCCCAGCAGATAAGCATTTTACTATGTCTACGTGCCTAAATGCACTGAAGTTCTGCCATGTGATTGATGGTTAGATATCTGTGTTAACGAGCAGTTGAACAGGTGTGTGTGTGTATAAATAGAAAGTGTGCAGGAAAAAGGCAAAATGTAACAGATGTAGGTGAGATAAGGACCAAAAACAAAGGAATATGAAATGTAATACAAATATTAAAAAGCAATTTTTTTTTGTTTCATCAGGGCCGTCTGCCACGCTACCTCATCCACCAGAGTCTGGCAGCCACAATGTTTGAGTTCATGTCCCATTTACGCCAACGAATTATCGACGTGCGGCCCTCTCATCGTTCCCACCACCACCACCACCACCACCACTCTCAAAACTAGAGAGAAGTTTTAAGTGGTCACTTGAAAGGTCACTAGCCAAAACTGGCCATCACGGCGTCCGCTGAATGCTCCCAAGCTGAAGGGATGCAATTATGTACCTGACAAGGTTGCAACTTTAAGCAAAGGAGATGGAGACATTTCCCATGTTTCAGCCACACAAAGTGAGGAGTTATTCAGATATCAAAGACTAAACATTTTCTATCATTTTGGGGAAGTTTAAGTGTAATCACAAGTGGAAATTTTTGCATGGACCTGTAACCCGTTTGCTATGTTTCTCGCCATGTAATGAAAACTGCTTTCTGAGACTTTACAGAAACAAGACCTGGATAAAAAAGTGATTCCCAATGTTGGAATCTGTGTTACAGAATAGCTATAACAGTAGTATGACTGAAACAGCTGTCTCTCTGAGCCTTATCTTTCTGCACACATTGATAGTCATTGATTTACTGCTTTTTCTTGTGTGTGTGTGCATGCGTGTGTGTGCGTGTGTGTGCGTGTGTGTGTGTGTGTGTGTGTGTGTGT